TCTCATCCTGTAATAAGAGCAAATACGACTTCTCATAAAAGGATGTTCGTGCTGTTCTGGCAGCACCATATATAAAGAATGTGTAGTGTGTATCCTTCAAAATGGCGTGTAATTGACATTACACTGAACTCGAAGCATACAACCCATACATTCCAATAATTTCGTATGATAAAGATAAGAGTTTTCCAGCAGACAGCAAATTCCCGAAATGAGGTGAAGTGTAAGACTACAGCTCAAAAATGGCACTTACGAAAGCCTGAACTCAACTAAGAATCAAATTCCTTCTGGGTAGTGAGCCAGTGTGAAAAACAATTCCTAAAGCACAACGTTCAGAACATGTAACATTAATCAAAATGCACAAGAAACTTACCTCTTCATGTACAAACAGTGAAGACATCTCTGCTTTCTCTTTTACATGAGAACAAATGATCTTGGGCGTGGCACTAGCGAAAAGGTCTGCAAAAAAAAGTAAAAGATTTACTGACTTTAATCACGCCTCTAACAATCTGAGGAATTGTTACAAGTCACCAATCAGTGCAATTCTGACAGCCTCTATAAGGGCATCAAAAATGAACAATTTTCTCGTTCTTTCTACCCTCACAAGACGCTCCGTCAATGGAATCTAATCCAAATTTGACGCTGTGCTTCCTATTTGCCTGCTTTCTAGACGTAGGGCTGCGAACATGTGTTTTGTGCACCTAATCTAGCACAGAAATTCATCATCTATAATTCAATCATCTTCATTCATTGTAATTTGATAGAAGATGTGATAGCTCGTCCAGTTTTTAAAGAGTTGCGGGCCTGCAATAGGCACTGCCTTGCACGTAGGAAAGTACTTCTTTTTAAAAAACAATTTCAAAGCTTGGTTTCAGAAAAAGCGTCTGGCATATTTCGACAACCAAGCCCATCCTCTGATGGCAATCAGGGGCACGCTATTAGCGATTATTGACTACGGGATTTACAAACGTAACCCGTGCCTAAATACTCAGTTAAACACAATCACGCAAGTAAGAGCGCTCGAACGACACCAACGCGCGCGGACGCCGACTACGTTGCAGCAGCCATGGCTTATGCTAGAGCAACCGCACATAGCTCCAACAGTCACGTATACTCTCTCGATTCTGTTATAACGCCGAACATTATCGCAGATGAAAGCGAAGCACGAAAACAGCAAACAGAAACGAGGGAAAACAACGCACGGCGATGGCCACAACAACGCGCCTTTGGAAGTCTGCTAGATCTTTCCCTGTTGCTGGTGGCACTTGTTCTAAATAGCTTAAAAGACCGAGGCGCACGTGCTGGGAGCATCGCGGCATATCAGAACCTCTAACTATACAGTTTTTAAGCAAAAAAAAAGCCATTTCGTACAGTGCGCCTCTGTACATAATTTTTGCTTTTTCTTTCTTTTTTTACGCTTACACCTACAGAAGCACGTTGCACATTTGAGTATTAATAGAAATGTTTTTAAGATGTAGCCCAAAGCACATCTTAAAACAATATCAATTACTTTGTGCAGTGTAGAGACAATGTGCGATCAGCAACTAATCCCGCCCTTGTTAAGTGATCACATCACTCACTGTATGAGTGATGCAGGCACTTACACAACATCGCGCATAGCAGTGTGAACTCGTTAAGTCACACGTTTAATCGGGCATCTGCAACAGGCCCGCGAACGCATGCTGTTGTAAATGGCTGGCAGCCTACTTCGGCAGAGCTGCTGCAGGCGCCCAGCTAGCGCTGCATGATTACTACCTACGAAAACAGTACACTCACCGTTAACAGGCCCACGTTGTCCGTGTCCGCCACTCCATGAATATTCCTTAATCCGAGCGTCACTTCGAACACGGTGTCATGCGTGACCACCATTGAATATGCGCCTGTTCGCTAGAACACACACAGCGACCAAGACCCCAGACCAACGCGACGCATTTGAAAGACGATGAGAGAGAGAGAGAGCGACGTTGAGAGAGAGAAGGAGGAAGCACTGGCGGCGGCGCCAAGGCTGTCGACGCAGGTGTTCGGTGCCGCAACTATTCGCTTATCTACGCCGCCGTTGTGGGAGCAATGCTGGCCGGGGTGAGCGGGGGGGGGAAGGAGCGGGAAACCCGCCAGGACGGCGCCGAAAGGCAAACGCTATGGCGCATACGGCGGACGGCCGTTCGACACGGAATGACTCCTTGTAAATGGCAACTCTCCTTTCAGCCAGTCGCACAGCCACGCAGGTTATTTACCAGCCTCGGGTTCTTTGAGTATTTTGACGGAATGCGATTGCAGTGGGCGAAAAATAGTAAAGCAAAACTTGCGGAAAACAACGTGCACCATGCAATGGCCAGAAACAATAATTATTTCGTCCTCGGTGGCATTAGCGGGAGAGCATCGCTACACCTTTTTCCAGAGGAATTTCTTTTTGCATTGTCTGTGTCTGGCACTTCCGCGTATGGTGCCGTAACACTGAATGCGTAGTCGAAGCTGGAACAAACTAATCCACAGTCACGGATGTTTAGAAGGCTTGTCAAGCACCACGAAACGTGTCGAGGTTGTTATAACAAACTTTTTGCTGACCACATGATCTGCACATAATTCAATATGGTTACCCAATGAGCTAGCTAAGCACGTGTAGCAAAGGCACGGCACGTTCTTGTTAAACGTTGTTAATATAAACGATGGTTGTAAATAAGTGCAGTGACAGCTTTCCGTGGGAATTGGTCATAACCCACGTTTTCGAGCGTAGAAACACCTCAGCGGACCTAATCAGCTACCACAGCAAGTTCGTAAGCAACGATCAGGTACGAAAATGTGGAGCTGTTTTCCATGTACTGAATAGTCCATGTACAGTGCGTTGACCACCGCCATTCCTTAAGCCACCTCCCATATAGACTCCCAGTCTGAACAGGTGTGGGACCATACACAATAAGAAGCAGTGCCTCCCCCCCCCCGCACACACACACACACACGAAATTCAAGGGCGCACGGGCTGATACACACGCATACTTATTCACAGGCGCACACACATACACGTATAAACGTATACGGTCACACACACGCGACCGTAAACGCACGCATGCATGGGCGTACACATGTGCACAGGCACGCTTAACACAAGCACGGACTCGCACATACACGCGCACGCACACATGCACGGGTGTACACACAATCGCGCTTACACGCGAACACATGCGAAGGCTCACGCACACACACCCATACTCGGGCGAACATTATTTGTGTGTATATAATCCATAGCAAACATGCAGCTTATAACCAACGCTAAGGAGAGCTTTCGTAACATAGATTGCAGTTAATTGCGATTATAGATGAAACGCGATTTGCTTCTGCAGACATTCTGCTGTATTCGGAGAGCACCTTCACACATTCTAAGTCAATTAGGCCGTCATTTAACGCAAGGTCCACATATTCGTGCAGTTGCTGCGCTGCTCGGCCGCCAATCTGAAGGTCGCGGGTTCGATGCCAGCCGTGGCAGTCAAATTAGGGCGGAGGCGAAAAGGTAGAAGCCTTTGCACTGTGTGATATGAGCGCTCATTAAAGAACACCAAATGGTGAAAATCTCTGCAGCTTTCCACTACGACGACCCTCATAATCATATCGAGGTTTTTGAGACGTAAAATCCCAAATATTGTCACGGGGTCGTGACGTGGCCGAAGACAGGAGACTTCGTGTTGGGATTTAACTGTTTATTTGGGCGAACCTGTGCGCGGTAAACGGAAAGTCCAATTACAGCAGCAGTCTCGCACAGATAGCAGTCTCGGACTGATAGCGGCGAACACAGCGTCGGCCTTCGATCAACAACTGACAAGCGGCGAAGCGCGTCGGCATTTATACTCTTGCCGTCGAATGTTCTAGCGTTATCGCTGGCGGCGGCGTAGGTTCCAGAACAATCTGTACCGTTCGCACAGTGGGCGTGATCTTATTGAAATGATCTACTACAGTCCGGAACCTTCTCGAAAACTGCAGGCGCGGTTCGCGCTGAGAATGGTGTGGTGTTCTGGGACGATAATAAAAACTTGGGAAATGGAACGTAGCAATAATATAATTATGTGTTCTTCTTATGCTGCATATTCCATCTGATGAATCGGCACCTACACCCTTCTCAAACAAAAAAACACCCTTAGAGCCTATTTTAGGGTGCTATCGAGGCAAGCACCCAAACAAAGGGGTGCTTTTTTTTTTTCAATCGACCATTTATGGGTGGTAAAGGGTGTTGCAAAGGGTGATTTCTCGTAAAAGCACCCTTTTTACACCCTTTTGGGTGCAAAAATTTTTACTGTGTACAGATAGTCTTACAATGAGTGGTATGTGGCATTTGTCAACAAGAACAAGAGACTATCGGAGCGTGAAAGTTTCACTGGTTGATCGTGTGACACCCAGAGGTCTGACACATTGTATATATAATTGACGACTGCGTAATGACAATATTAATAATAATAATAATAATAACATTATTATTATATGCTGTTATTATTATTATTATTATTATTATTATTATTATTATTATTATTATTATTATTATTATTATTATTATTATTATTATTATTATTATTATTATTATTATTATTATTATTGCTTTTAGGACTACTGACAAAAAGGAGTACGCTCAACTGAAGTAGGTCGTCTTCATCCTCTTTGAATACCACCACCCTGATAAAAAAAAGCATGTGCGACTGCCTGAGATATAAATTTTTCGCTTGCTTATCTCTTGTTCCTTTTTTTATACAATAGCGTGCCACATAAACACAGAAGATTGGATGTGTACACCTTCGGAAACAAATATTATTAATATTATATGCATCGCAGCGAAGTGTGTCGTTTTCGCCTTCTTGGAAGGCCACTTCGTGGGTTTGTTTTGGCAAAATGCATATTCCATTGGCCACATTGGAATGTTTTTACGGTATTTATTTGCTTATTACTTTTATATGAAAGAATACATAGTGGTCCAAGTGTGCAAGGACGTCTCTTTTATCCCTTATGTGTCCCACCCTACCATCTCCGGCGTGGTCTAGTGGCTAAGATACCTGGCTTTCACCCATGAGGCCCGGGTTCGATTTTCGGCGTCGGAGGAGTGGGGTCTCATGGTGTAACGGTTAGCATTCTGGACTTTGAATCCAGCGATCCGCGTTCAAATCTCGGTAAGATCTAATTTTTTTCTTGAATTCAGTGTACGTTTTTCTTCTGATCAGCAAAAAATTCGTGAACACACCACTGCATTTGTTCTTATTTTTTTAAATCATACTCATTGAACGATTTCTCCTTGGTTATTTTTTGCATAGTTCATAATTTATTAACGGCATTGTGTCAGAACTGTCAGATTGCGTTAAACTTTATGCAGATGAATTGCTGGCAGTTTCTATGAAAATATTCACTCACGTGATGCTCCGGTGCACCTAAATATAGCCCAGCAAAGATCATTAAATGGTTCAAAAAATCGCCAAACTCAAATTTTGACAAAATAGGTTGCATTTCACTTATAAAGAAAGACTTCTTTCTTATCTATACGGTGTGAATAGGATCTTACTGCGAGATGTCAAGGAAGAGAAAAAGCCTGTCGTTCGCCAATAATCTTTCTGGAAATAATGTTGTTTATAGATCCTTGCGCACACTGTTCTTCTTGGGACACTCGGGGAAGTCATGTACAGCTTTTTGTTTGTCAACATACAATTCCTACGTTCTACCATTTTTCGAATGTATATTGGTTATCGCGACCAGTGTATTAGAGTTCCCACTCCAGAACTGTAATGACTCCGGAATCATTCCACATTTTCGCGAACCCGGAATGAATGGGTATGTAATGGAGACAACTTTTGATGAAATAGAATGGAAATAAATTAGCCACACTTCCGAGAATGGAATGGGAATGCAATTACATCTATTTCTGAAAATAGAGGACACTTTCGCTTTCTTGCTGTCACATAAACTTTAACAATATATAGCGATTCAGAGCCTTGAATAGAACATTTAAGCAGCATTATTAAAATGGCTTGGTTGATTTCAAGCACGGTACGTTTATAAGCAACGCACCTACTACAAAGCGGTGCTGATATCAACTGTGCTCCTCTGAAGTTTGTCGCTATTCTTCGCCTAACCATGGCCGAGCGAAACCAGGGGGACAGCATCAACCCCTTTCTGCCTTGTGATTTTTTCCCTCAGCCGTACCAAGGCTACATTGTCCACCTGACTTCTGTCTTTCCACCCTTCACTTCTTTGTGCTAGCATCTGTCACCGTCAGCGACTTTGACGCATATTCGAAAAACGCTTCTCAAAGTTAACCATTCGATATATGGAGTTTAACGCACCAAACCCACCTTTTGATAACGAGAGACACCGCAGTGGAGGGCTCCAGAAATTTCGACCACCTGCAGTTTTTTAAGGTGCACCCAAACCTGAGAAAAAGTGCATGCAACGTTTCCCCCTCTTTGAACTAGCCGTTGAAACAGCTTTTCAGTCAAAATTCAGGTTTCAAAACAGAAAGGCGAAGCCGCCATTTTTTCTGTAACATTTCGTTACAAAATTTCAATGAATAGAACCAAATCAAAGCTTCATTTTGCACCTTGTGTTGATTGCTAACTTTATGAAAGCATTTAAAGTGAGAAGGACGTTTAAGCTCTCTTCTATGAAGCCCAACAAGTCACCAAAGTGGTAATGACCCATTGCCGAATGTGTTTGGAAGATCAGACGTTCGGGACACGAAGCCCAGGAGATACCATGTTCCCGAATCTCCTGCTTAGAGCTGGTTATCCCGCATGCTCAGTGCTCCGGGGTAGGATCATTTCATTATTCCTGTTAACATTTTGAAACTTCAGTTCGTTGATACGACCCGTAACATATCCATTTTCGCGTCGCCAAGCAAAGAGGATGTTCGCCAGGAACATCTACATATATATTATGCTACACCCTCAATGGCTACTACTATGACATCATGCTCAAGTTAGTCAAGTAAGCCTGATTACATGCTATACCAAAGTCGCAGGCCACAACGCATTCTCAAGGTCTACCAGGTGAGCCTTTATTTATGCAAAGCCAGGGGTAGCCATGGCGCAGTAGTGAAAAATGTTCCAATTTGCAAAATAAACAACGGCATAAGTTCATACAAAAACATGCATAACCCCAATGGATACTGAAGGGAGATACAAGTTATTACTGGTCGTTGGTTCTCATTGATACCACTTATGAGGGGTGCCAATACTATATGCACGGCCTGATCTTCATCTCACGAGGAGTCTAGTACCTGACACACGTAAATAAGCTTAGCGACAAGGATGGCAGTGCATCCTTGCGCACAGGCGAAGACATAAAATTTTCCTCACCCCATCTATGCTTACGAGGCGCGCTTGCCAAGCATGAGTTCTAAAGAGCAGTGAGGCGCTGGTTCCATATGGAACAGTGCACTAGAGGGAACCAGAGCACCAGTGCTCGGCCAAAAGGTGCCCGAGTGCTGGTACACTGTTCTATCTCATACCAGCAGATCTAGAGCATTTAATCCCCAATAAAAGGGACCTATACACACTTTTTGAGTAACCATGGAACTATTTCACTGAAAAAACTGATATCCTCAAAAATTGAACAACGCAAAAATTTCAAGAATCCGCTCAGTACGAGCGGATTTACAAAGATTTGTAACACACTTCAATCGCATTCTCTCTTTTCTCGTCCCGACGAAAGCACTGGAAGCTAAGCAGGGAAGAATGGGAGGGGCAAAGAAAAAACCTCACGTGCCCTTCGTGACCTTGAGCACTTTCTCTTTTTTTTTCTTAGAATACGCGGCTTTTTTTCAGTGCGCGTGGACAAGTGACGGCCTCCTATGGTGATCTCTGTAACAACCGAGCGCGCCATGTTCGAATCAGGGAATAGCTGATAGTTGGGCATTCTACGTGTGATTTTTGAGCATCTTCCGTCATTTGTCGAGGGAATAAAAGGCAATTTTAGCTGACTTTGATTGTTATTTCTGAATTCCAGGTTCCATGCTGCGCTATAATATCTAACTAGCGTGTTGTCAGGAGCCTTTACTACCAATAGGTAGTGTTTTTACCGTACTCCAAAAGTGTTGCAGGGCCCCTCTACATGAATTTTAGGCTTCTTCATATTCCCGACCGCTCCAGAGGCATGGCAAAACCACCTATTCTTCTTGAACACTACTTTTGTCAACATAAATATACACTATGTCAATTTTTATTAGCATTACCACTTTTACACCTAAAATATTAAAATATCGTCATCGAATGCCGACCATGTGAGTACAATGTTGAGCGGAAAAACTGCTCCGATAGGGATTAGTCGCGTGGTTTTACTAGATATGCCACCAAGCTAATAACCCTCGACCTTGGTAACATGTTTTACGTACTTTTGCAAATCTAATGCATCTCCTGACACCATCTTTATGAGCGCAGTTATTCTCAACTAAATAATACTATCGAGAAGCATTTTCTTTATTGGGCAATTGGAGGATTGGGATTGAACTGCCCCGGCTTTCGCAAAGTGGGAATGGGCCTTTTTGTTTCGAGAAATTACAAGAATTGATTTCCGAACCATTCTAATTGCGTGGAATGAAATTCGAATGGATTGAAAGCGCCCATTCCACAGCACTTATTGGAAACCATTCAATTAAACTACTCTTCAAAACTACAGCACGACATTTCGCATTAGCTCACAAGAATACGCGGAACGAATTGCTTTGGGCAGATCACAATATATGTTACAAATTGTTGATTGGAGCGACGTATAAATATTAAGTGACGGAAAACGTTGCCTATGGAGGTTGTTTGGTGCGATAATAAGTTTAGCAAATTAGCTGCCAACAAAATGGAATACATAAAATCTGCTCGCCTGAGGCCGAGCCAATCGCAGATCATCAGGGAGAGGTATTCCTAAAACATTGGGCCTAAAAGAAGATTTATGGTTATCATGGACGAAAAATGGGGATTCTCTTTTGTACAGAGCAAACAAGGGGAAACATTTACTTCGTTATCGCGATTCCAACCAATTCACATTCTGAGGAGCAACTGCGCCACGAAATCACCATGGCAATGTTATACATCTATCACCGCAGACAGCAACCTAATTTTCTTGCAATAAAGCAAAATTACGACTCCTTCAGAGCAGAATGTAAACTTTGGCGCAATGATATGAAAAAAATCACAGCATATTCACGGAGTGAAGGATGATGTATAGGGCGAATGGTCCATCCATCCATACGTCCATGAGTGCACGCGTTCATGCGTCCGATCGCGTTCAATTTCGCAAAAGGCGCGTGGTTAACAACGAGGAGACGCGAGCCAAGAAAGCCGAACGCAAGCGTCTTCAACGCGCCCGCCGCTCTGCTGCGTCCATGCATCACCACGCCACGTACGTTTACTACCCAGGAGGCCGAGAAAGGCACTCGTTCGCGCACTCAGACGAAGCACGCGCAGCAGCAAATCGGAGAGTAGCGTCCGAGTAACGCCATCTAGAAGAGGGGACGAAAATTGGTTAGCCATTTTTTGTTGTCTCTTCTTTTCTTGGTTACGCGTAACTAGTTACAAGGTTAGACTGATCGGAGCTTCGCCCCTAAAATTGGCAGCCCATCCATTAAGTGAATGTTCATGATGGGGCGAAGCTGCCTGAATAATTACGAAGTGCTTACGAAAAGTTTATGAAATTATGACGGAGGTTCCAGGTGGACGACAGGGCGCGCCTAGCAACGAACTCTACAGCGCTCGCACTTTTCTTGCGTAGGGTCCCTGTGCCTATAGCATGTTCTATCCTGCAGAAGGAAGAAGAGCGCATCGCCTAACTTTCTGACCGGCCCGTTTTCAATGGGCACAAGCACTCTCGGAACACACATTAGAATGAAATAAGTGATGGAGGAAGACAGATGCACGGATGGGTGGACGGAGATGGATTAAGGACAGCCAGACGGACGAACGGATGCTCCGATCTATGGACGAACAGACAAGGGTCTCTTTTTAAAACTAAATGTGCCCTATCAACGATTTATGTGCAGTTTTGGAACCCCTGTGATATCGGTCCGACAGGGAGCTACGACAACGATGGCGTCAAAGGACACCGGGCGAGCATAAGGAGCTTC